CGCCAAAGACCCCAAGTTGAACAGGAAAGATGAATGCCTAGCCATAACGAGTGAGCTCGCCCCTTCGCTGACCTGTGTGGGCTTCAATCGCCATCGGCTTTAGGTCGAGGGGCTGGGTCAGCTGAAGCCGTCCACAGTGAGTCAGTTTAGCGGTGGTCGAATTCGAGCTAGCCGTGCGTTCCTAAGGTTAGTTGCTTTGTGCTTGTGAGCTACGAGACCTCCCTAGACGCCTTTAGTCTACGGTGAGCTGTCCTTAAGTCTGAAATGGCATTCGGCGGTAGGTCACCTTATCTTTGACTTTCCAGGCTCCGACGAAGGCGACAAGGCCGAAACGTTAGCCAAATAAACTTGTAATATCTTGGCGGTGGTTTTAACATCTTATCAGAAGGACTTCGCTCTTTCTCTGAGTTGGATTTCTCATTCAGAGACTGCAGACTGAAACCCCGTCTTAAGCGAATTATTTCAGCGCGAAAATTGACGAACACTGTTGAACAAGCTTACCTTCTTCCTGCGGTGCCGGCTGTTGAGAATCAGGAGGCGCTGCTTGCTGTTGAGGTTCACCTTGGGGCATCCCACCTCGTTGCTGACCTTCAGGTCCACCTTCTTCTGATGGTCTCGGACGTTGCTCCTTGTTCATTTCAGGCACCAAATCTGCAGTAGCCAATGAATCCATCGTCAGCAACGAAGGAAACTCTTGTTAGGAATGATCAATTTTGTAGGGAAACTCCTTGAGTATTTAACTATTGGTAAAGCACTTACAAACAGAGCCCGGCATGTCATGATCACACGGTTTCGCTGGTTGTCCTGACGTTCTCGCTTGTCCTTCGAAAGAAATAAAGGATAATTATGTGAAAAGATTTGCCATCCTACTATGGAGCAGTCGCCAAGTATTTCCGTTATTGGGGCACAGTTCGGCGACGGGCAGGGGGGCATTGTGCACTTTCGCTGCTTCACTAGTTTCGATTCACAAGCCTCACATCTGGGAAGGAACCTGTGAAATTTTTTTCGTGTCAGCTGAGGAAACTCGTCCATGGTGAAACATATGCAACCTTTGTAAGCATAGAAACGGCTCTCTAGATGAGTCGACAACGTAGATGTAAAGGAGCGAAAGTGCAAAATGCCTCCTCCCCCGTTGCCGAGGTGTCCCGTTATTGTATAAGTCCGTCTGCCTCTTACGGAAACAATAGCGCCCGTCGCAGCCACAATGGGACGGTGGTTTCACCAAAGGATATTGTGATACTGTTGAGCTTTAGGTGAAGTGGGTTTGCTGCGTGACCGCTCCGTTATTCCATCCAACGTTCACGCATTTTTCCATCAAGTGGTCACGAATTGTCATAGAAGAACATAGATGTGAGAGAGTGTGGCTATGCGAGCGCGCTTTCAAGGAAAGAAGGGGGGGGAGTCGCCTAAGGACCAGTGTCCAATGTGCAAAACGACGAAGAAGGGCTGTCAATGGAACACTTCGCTCCTTCTATTAGTTAGATTCTCATTCAGAAACTGGAGATTGAAGCCCCGTTTTACGCGAATTATTTCAGCGCAAAAATTTCGAACACTTAAAAACGAGCTTACCCTCTTCCTGTGGTGCTGGCTGTTGAGAATCAGGAGGCGCTGCTTGCTGTTGAGGTTCACCTTGGGGCAACATTCCGGCCTGTTGTTGGGGTTCACCTTGTGGCATTCCACCTTGTTGCTGACCTTCAGGTCCACTTTCTGCTGAACCTGGTTTCGGACCTTGCTCCTTGTTCAGTTCAAACCACAAATCTCGTGTAAGACATCTTGAATTCTCGTGGAACGTAAAAAAAAAATCATTGTTTAGCACTGACTGATTTTCTAAGGTCAAAACTCATAAACTAATAATATACTCAAACTGCACTTACAAATAGACCTCTGTCCGTCAGCATCAGTCGGTTTCACTGGTTCTCCTGACGTTCTCGCTTGCCCTTTAAAAGACATAAAGAATGACTGTGTGAAGTCTTTTGCCATCGCAGTACAGTTTCAGTGATGGGGAGTGGCTGCACACTACATTTTAGTCGTGGCGGCAGCTCCGCTTTCGAAAGGACATTGCAGTTTCAGAACAGTTGCAACAATAACTTTGTCTAGTATAAGACAGTATTACAACTGCATCAAGTGGAAAACCCACGAGTATCCGGAGCCATGTTCAAGCAAAGTACGCAGCCACGCCCACTCCATAGCTGGGATTTGGAGTGAGTAGCATACGCTGTGTCTATGTTACTGTGTAAGCCTGTCTGCCTGTCACAAAAATAAGGGCGCGCATCGCAGCAACATTGGACCGTAGACTGAACAAGCGGGAAAGGGGTGGCTTGAGTGGTAGTGTTGAGAGTTAGGTTGTGGATTCGCTACAACTTGTACAACTGTGGCATCGTCCCAGCTGAAACTGAAATTCTTGTTGCGGTTTTGCTGAGCGTGAATCTTGGAGGTAGACGACAGAAAGTGGTAGTGTTGAGGAAGAAGCCAGAGCGCTCCCCTCTCCCCCCCCCCCCCCAGGCGAGCATGTTAGGTCGCGAATGACCAAGTATGATAAAGGATCTTATCGTGGGCATGATCTGACACGGTATCTATCAAAAGCTATGAGTAAAATTGAGAGGTTTCCTCATCGGCCGCATTGCTCGGGGCACGTCGCCTCCCCGCCAAGATAGGAGCTCGCCTCGGCAAGTTTTCCTTCACGCTGTCTTTTCAGGTTGATTGCCAGGTATAACTACTTGGCAACAAGTAATCTTGTAAACCTTTTCCCTGTGCGGTATTGTTGTTAATTGTTGTATTATATTTCTTTGGTGATGGTCAATACAAGTTATTGATAAGACAGAGCAAACAAAGTACGGTGTTGCAGAAAACCAACTTTCCGTACATACACTTCATTGTATCAACTTTCTGAGGTAGAACAAGAGTGGAACCAAATTCACAGCAGGGGCCGCAGGATCAGCGCGAAGCTGGTTTCAAGGAATGATACAGGAGGTGGGGCGGGGATATTGAAAGTGGGTGGCAGGAGTTGATAACAGCTCTAAATGTTGTGCAGCTGCTTGATGAGAGTTGCTAGACCGTGC